CGTCCCGTGCCCACCGGCCTGTGCCTGGACTGTCCTGCGCCTCGGCCGGGCGGCGGGCGGGTGGCCCAGCCAGGCCTCGGGAGCGGCCAGCAGCTGCTTCCTGCCCGGTGGGGTCAGTGTGGCGGTCAGGCCCTGGGGTGTCCGTTCGCTGGGGCGAGCGGGAGTGAGTGATGCCTGAACAGAGCCCTGAATCCCCAGTTCTCTCCCAGACCCCAGGACTGACCAGCCCCTTCTCTCCTCTCCTCAGGGTCACCAGCAAGGATCTCGGGCTGACAGCCCCTCCCCGCACCCCCAGGGCCCGGTGGGGGCCCCTCAGTGAGGAGCAGGAGCTGCCCTACGCCTTCCTCAGTCTCCCCAAGGGGAGCCCCAGAACCCCTTAGGGCCAGGAGGCCTCCGCATACTCCGAGGTCAGCCTCAGGCACTGAGCAGCCCCCTCGGCCCCTCCCGACGCCGCACCCCAGAAGCCTTCTCTGAGGACAGGGTCGGGGCTCCCTGCAGAGCTGGACAGAAGGAGGCGCCCCGCGGTGGTCTGGCCCCTTGGACAGCAGAAACCCCTTGGCTGACGGCACCCCGCAGCGCCCCCTGCTGGCTGCGCGGGGCTGCGCTAATGGGATTCTGGGGTGACGCGTTTCCTCACCATGAAGAGGCCAATCCCCGCGCGCTGGCGGACCCCGCTTTCTGGGGGGTGGCGAGGGCGTGGCTGGGGCGTCGCTAAGGGGACGAGGCCGCCCCCCAGCCAACCCCGGACCCACATTAGGCCCTGAGGGCGCAGCCTGGGTGAGAGGGTGGGAGCTGGGGCTCCGCCTTCCAGTCCTTTCCGTGACAACCCCCAGGATCTGGGGGCCACGGGGGCTCTCCTTACCCAAGCCACACCCGGTAAATGGCGGAGGTGGTGAAGGTGTGTCCTTTCCCGTTAATTATTCAGAGTAAGAGTCGGGGTGACAGGCGGGACTCACAGTGCGTGGCAGGGGCCGGGTGTAGGTGGGAAGGAAGGCTCTAGACTCATGGAGGTGAGGTGTGACCCGAATGTGCTGGGCCTGCGGGGACCGTCACAGCGGTCAGGGCTTCCTGCCTGCGCCTCGCACCCCCAATGTTTACTGCATACAGAGTAAGTGTGGGTGCAGGTGTGGACCCCCATAGAGTGTCAGAACCGCACGGAACAATCTCTGACCCTCTGACCGCAGTGATCCGAGCGGGTGAACAGTCCCCGGCCCTGAGCACAACACAGGGGACAGGAAACCCGGGTGTGAGGGGGGACGGCTCAGGGCCCCACCAGCAACTCAGGGTTCAGGGTCCCACCCTGCACAGGGGGCTACTGCCTTTCTAACATAGTCATAATACCTGCTTCCACCAACAGTCACCCCCAGCCGCCCCTCCCCTGGCCCTCTGGCCTGTGTCTGCACCCTGGGGCCAGGACATGGCCCAGAAATAGGCCCAGAATTCTCTGCAATGACTTGACATAGGGCCTGAGTGGCAGGAACCGGTTCTGTCCTCTCTAGCCTTGTCCAGCCTCTCTGGAAGCTGTAAGTCCTTCGGCCCTGGACACATCTCCCC